TGGGCCAAGGCTGTAGAATTTTCACCAGCTCTTCAACTAATAATCCATATACCTGTCTCCAATAGGGTGGTTGTTTTGGTCTTTCTAGTCTTAGCTCCAGCTCGAACAAACACCATATTCCATTCAACTTAAAGAAAATAAAGTACTGTTCCTTTGAACAAATAAATTCTTCTTATTGTAACGAAACTCACTTCTAGGTCATGCTACAGTAAAAAACACCATCTTCAACTGTAAACAGAAAGGAAAAAAATTGCACAAGTTCTCAAACAAATGATACCTGAGAATTTGCTCAATAGGAGTGGGCTTTTTAACACAGCATCAAGGCCCAGTACTGCTGCTTCTTTTTCATCACTTGGGGCATCTTTGAAATTCAAATTAGTAGTTTCTCCTTTGACCATACATCCATTGGCACTGAGAAGTATAGGTATCATTTGGTGCTGTTAGCAATGGCATCAGTGGTCTTAGGATGCACCAACACCAATTTGTCCTCTAGCCTTGTCAGTAAGTTGGACGTGCTAGACCCCTTTAATCCTACCAAAGTTCTGCTTATTCTAAATTTCTTTAATTGGTTCTTCACCTAACTCCGAGTGATAAGCTTATCTTGAACATTCTTTCTGGCATTTGACAGATTGAGAGTACATGCTTGCTCTGTTGCCATCAGAAATCTCTACCACCACCAGAATCTGTGCCCTTTTGACCAGGATCCTCCCTGTGCCACCTTCATTCTGCTACCTCATATCCAAATATTTGCCTTGTTCTTGCCGAGAAGAGGATCTTATCCTTGCTCTTGTGCTTTCTGACCCAACAGTTATGGCCTCTCACTTTAAAGATCTCACAAGGAGCTTTGAAGAAACAGTTTTTAAGTCTTCAAATCAAAGAGAGAAAAAGAATAGGCTTCTGCCATCACTGTTTCAGCCTTAAAATGCCCTGAAGTTCACCTTTTAGGATTATTTAATCACCAAGAACTTCCTTGGTGAGGGAAACTGTGTGTTTGACAGAACCAGCCAAAAGAACACACAGGACAGACACTTAGAAAGTAGGCCTCTCTCTTTCCCTCTATAGACACTTTAAACGTGTCAAACCTATAGATCATGATATGTGATTTGCTTTGTGGAGAAGCTAGGCATTTGCATCACAAGACATAGTTTATGTTTTTGTTGGCATGATTGTAGGTTGCCTGTGAAGCATGGATCAAGCACGGCGACCCGAAAGAAGTGATTTGCCATGAAGTGAAACGAGTCTGCCCAGATTTACTGGTGGTGGGAAGTCGTGGTCTTGGTCCTTTTCAAAGGTCCAGTTCCTCTTGTTTAAGTAGATGCTTGGTCTTTTGTTACTGCTGATAGTCTCACGTATTTGCTTTGCTGATGAAATTTTCTGTTGTTTTTCCTTTTGTCTTCTTATTATTAAAAGTTCACTGGTGAATTGGGCATTTTATTTATATCTTTGAGATACTTTATTTTGCTACAAAGCTTTTGCGAGCAATTGTGTGCCTTTGAGTGGGAGGGAAGTAACTAATAAGCTGTTAGCCCTGGGGGGCAGTAATTTATATAAATGGAAGAATGACAAAAGCCTGTTTTTTTCTTTCAACATAAGATGTTATCGGAAACATTGTTATTGGAACTAGTGCATCATAATTGTGCCCGTGCTATTTGTAATTGAAAATTTTGCTTTCTGTGTACTGAGAGCTATTGCTTCCGCAATTAACACTGTGTACTTTGGCAGAGTTTTTGTTGGAACTGTAAGTGAATTCTGCATGAAGCATGCTGGGCGCCCTGTCGTCACAATCAAACGCAGTGCAGAAGAAACTCCTGAGGACCCAGTCGATGACTAGTTTTATTTCCAGGAATTTGTTTTAGTTTGTTGAGAGATTTGAACTAGATAAATATTTGGTGGGATATGGATTTTGCTGTTACTTATTTGGGATGTGACTTTTTCTGCATTCTTTTTTTCACTTCTGCACGCTTGTTCAACTGAGGAGCACGCATTTAGCCAAGGGATTTCTGAGTTATTCATCTGGTTGTAAATAATTTGTATGTTTCAGTTGGGTGCCCTTTCTTGCATGAGTTGGTAACAAATTTCCTGTGTATAATTATTTTCAAGTAATGGTCTTGGGTGGAAGGTCATTGCTCACAGGCTTGTAGTTGTTAGTCGAATAATACGAACACACGGAGGTGACTGTTGTTATTCCACTTGTATCAATACATGGATATCACTGTTGATGTTCTCTCCCAACTATTTTTTTAGCGATGTCACATTGTGATTAATCTTGATGTTACTGGGATTTTTTGTTTTCTTTTCTTTTTTCTTTGTTCAGAGGCCATTGATAAGTGAGCAGGCCTCGGGCTACTGTAGGTGATGGAGAGGAACCCTAGTCCAAGAATCATCCCAAAGGTACCCTGTACCATTTGAGTTGGGTGGGTAGGCTAATAGTATTGAGAGTTTTGAATATCATCTCAGTGTTTAAGCTGGTCCGTTATCAATTAAAGTTGTACAAATTACAATAAGTAATTTTTTTTTTTGAATATTTCGTATAAACAACATTCATAGAGTATGGTTTCTACTATAAAAAATAGAAAGAGCAGTTGGCTACCAGAGATACTACTCAGGCACGTTCTTGACCTCAAAGAGGTGTGATGGAGTAACTCGTGGCTATTGTCACCTTTGTGATGGCCTCTTATAGACTAAGAGCGTTGTAAGGCAGGATAGAGTTGACGCCTCTGCATTTCTTGCATAGGCTCCATCTATGTATGGAACCAGTGGGCATGCCCTCAGTTAACTTTCGGTGCAGGCTCTTGCAAGCAGGTCGTAGTTGGATATGTCTATACACTTCCCTAAATGGGGCTTGACCACGTGCAAGCTGGACACTGTTATTAAGTCCTACATAAGAGTCATTAGATTTATTTATGGAGTTCAGGACGCATAAACATTAAAGAAATTTTTTTTCAATCATAGTAGAAAAGTGAGATATGCACAGTTGATAGGCGTGAACATCTCACCTCTACTAGCATTTGTTTAATCCTCATCATGTTCTTTCATCTTCTGGCCAGTTCCAATCTTGTAATTGACAACAAAAATTGCCCAATATTAGGTCACATACTTCTCGTGCTTATAAAATTTTTTTCGAAATGAAACGTAAAATGCAGAGACTGGTTAAACCAGCTGAGCAATTAAGCGCAATATTCTTTCATGCATCCATTACTCGTCCTCATCATCAAGATCTGGATGATTAAATTCCAATTTCACATGGTAATCTATTTCATTATCATCAGAAACTATAGCGTACAAAGCCAACTTTTAAATATTTTGTGGGTCATATATTAAGTGTTATATATTGGAGGAATAACCCATCATCTTTTATTTTTTCCTGACATATTCGAACTTATATTTAATTATAAATTAAACGTATCAGTTAAAAAAATAATAGGTTTAGTACTTTCAAAAAAAAAAAAAAGTAAAAAACACACAAAAACATGTATTCAATTAAGAAATAAACTTTGATCGCTTTGATTAATATCATCCTTATGAATCTAGTGCTAACAAGCTGGTGAAGCCAGTGGAGTTGCAAAGCAAAGCAGCAAGGTGAGAGAACAAATAATGAGAAAAAATAGGGAATTGAATAACCGTACAGGTATGTCTTGTATATTGCATAAGGTTCTTAAATGAAATTTACATTTTTACCTTTCTTGTATATTGTATACTCGTTGATGCAACAAAAAACATTTATTAGTTTGTTAATCAAGTGAGATGATCTTTGACAAGAAACAGAATATGTAATCAATATACAGCTGCTAGGATCTAAGCAAAGTCCAACTTCCATGATAATACTTCACTATTTCTAGCAACGATTCCGGCTGTGAAACAGTAAGAAGAAAACTCTTTTGTTGCGCATTCTTTATATAAACACAACTTTGACCAAATAACAAATAATCTAATTTACCGTCAGCAGGCAAGAAAATTCTAATATGCTAAAAACACAAGACCATGTAATGCATCATTTAGTTCCTTGTCGTAAAACCACACACTTACCAATCAGTTGAAACTAGCGAATACAAATACCATGCAAGTGATAGAGACTGGATCACCAGCAAAATAGCTTCACATAAATCATGCCTGTGATGAAAATAGAATTCCTCCACAATTCTAGAAACAAAGGGAGAAAAATTTTCTGTAGGAGTTTTTATGCCAGTTGGAGCAGGTTCTTCAATTGAGTGATTGCACCACAAAAGCTAAGATAAATAAGTGAAATTGGGGCATTAAACAGATTGTCAATAGAGTAAACAACCGGTAACTACATGTGGGAAGTAATTTTGATGGTCAAAACCAAGAATTTGTAGAGAGAGATTGCCATCGATAAGCAATTTCATGATCAGAGATTCGGATATTCAGATGTTATATAAGAAGTGAAGTTAAGCTAGCAGATATTCATGTATGTGCATTTGATACTAAACCATTGAGGGGTCATCACAGTGACTTGAAATAGTAATCTGAGGTTGCAATTGAAATGGTGACTTCCAGGCTTGATTCTAACAGTTTGGAGATGGATAATTTATCCACTGGAGAAGAAGGATGAATTACAGCATCGCAACTTACCATCACATTTCACTTCTTTAAAGGGACTTAGTCAATAAATCAAATAAAGCCGAGGCATCAAAGGAATAGCAGGAGCTCCCGATCTGAAAGTAATACTGATGGCAAGACATCCTGCATCAGCATGAGGCACTCCACTAGATCCAAATCTCATATTGATGAAGTATAACCACCCATATCCAACATGATCAAGAACAAGTCTCAATGGCAGCAAGTTAAAGTCAAATACTAGACTTCCATGCATCACCTTAAAACTTTGGATAGATTCTAGTACATAATAGCTACCCAGTAGTCAATTTATATTAGATTCATCAGAATAAAATCCGCTGTGTTATATTTAGTGAATCTAACACAAATAAATCCTGATTCCAAAAGCTGGGAATTGTAATAAAATTCTGAGAGAGAGAGAGAGAGACGCCTGAATGTTTATTTTTATCTCTGTAAACATGATAAAAGCATATTGCAGCTAGTTACAACTTCGCGAACAAAACCAACCCAAGTTTGTCATTAAAATACAGAACCATGGCTTACCGCTTATACCTACCAGGCAAACCACTCTAAATGCATTATATTGCCCTACACCTGCATATTGAATCTCCAAGTAAATGTGTCCTGGTCCTGGAACCCCTAAAAATCCTAGGATGAAGACTCAACCATTGTGCTTACCTCCTTCAAAAGCCCTTTCATTTCAGCCTCCAACTTGGATTTAATCTGCTGAGACATTTTTCCATCTGATTTTTCCAGCATTGAAGTCATCATCTCCAGTTTCTGCCTAATGTAATCAAGCTGCGAGCCTTCACCATCGTTTGATCTTGAAGCAGATGGTTTGTTCTCAGTCTTGCCTCCTTCTTTGGAATATGATAGAGAAGGTTTTGAATTGGGTACAATCTTATCTCTCTCCTTAGACCTAGGAGAAGGCTTTGGATTGGGTATGTCCTTAAGCTCTCGAACCTTGGATGCAGCAGACTTAACACAGAGATGGAAAGTTACTTTTGAGGTGGCTCCAAATGGACTGGCACTTTGCGAGCTGTTAAATGCTTTGGTGGCATCAGAGCTCCTGAGAAATACCAAACGAGCACAGTTGTCATGGAACATCCCAGTTTCCTCTTTGTCCAGAGGTCCATACTTCTCATATATCGTGATTAGATCATTCTTGGATGGTAAGGATGAACCTGGGCCAAAAGTCACAAAGAGTTCCGCAGATGGATCTTGCCCATTAGTTTCTAACTCATTTGTTTCCAAATCCAATCCCTTAGAAGCTTGCTTGCATTTGATCTTCTCTGTTTTTGTTTTTTCACTCTTTTTTATCTTTACCCTCGTGGCATGGCATTCAAGGGATCTCTGTTCAGTCTGATTCTGGTCTACTCCTGAGGATTCAGGTTCAGAGTCTACCAATTTTCTCTTTCTGGTACTCTGATTGTACATTTTGTAGTTGGACCCATTGCGATAGATTGAGCTTCTAAAAGCAGACAGGAAATCTTCAACCATATCAATAGAGCTATCTTCCTTTACATATTGAGGACTAAGAGCTACTGACCGGATCTTGGTTACCACTTTGTTTACAGATGCCTTGACTTTTGATGAATCAATGGCCTCATTCTGATCCTCTTTTGGTGTTTGAGGACTTAAATTATCTGTTTTCTTGTGCCCATCAAGTTCTTTGGAAATTTTCTTACTGGAAGCTTCAGCACTAGCCTTCAAAATTGGAGGAGACCCAATTAGGTCATCAACAGATTTAGTCGTCCGATCCCCTGACCGAACATGACTCTGATTTGGGTCTGTATAAGGAGGGGACAAGTACCTGCTCTTCTTCCTTTCCCTTGGTAAATGATCCCTCTCAGTTTGTTCATTGGCTTCACAATCATCATCTTGAAATCTAGAATTATCCTCCTGCTTCTTCTTCTTTTTTAACTTAGACAATGGGTTGTCACTAGTTTCTGTTTTGTCCCCTATACCATCATTTCCCGAAGTGGAGCCTTCCTTTTTCCTTCCCCGTGTTGATGGACCTTCCCTAGTAGCAGACACATGGCTCATATAAGTTTCTTCTTTGGACCCACCAGTAGTATTTTCCAAAGTGGAATCTTTGCTCCTCCTTCCCCTTGTTGAAGGGCCACCCTGAACTTTTTCCTTTGGTCCACCTCCATCATTTTCAACACTGCTAACAGCACTCTCTGTAGCTGTATGAGATCCTGAAAGCTCAGTCACTTTCTTTTTCCTGGGGGCAGACATAGATGTGGCACTCAGGTTGCCATCAGCCTCACTGCTGCCTTTCCTCTTCTTGCTAACGGATGATGATGCTTCTTTACCCCCAGAACCCTCCTTTTTTGCCTGCACAATTTTCTCTCCTTCCATAATTTCAGCAATGCTTTTCTGCTTTCTTCTTTGGTGCCGCCCATCTTCCGACACACCAGAGCACTGATGCAACAAGCTTTGGCAGGTTTTTTCAAATTTAAGGTCCACAAAAGAAGAAATCCAATCTTCTTCAACTGGCCCTTGAATTGGCACTTCCATTGCATTATACTCATCACTTCTGTTAATGCCAGAATCTGTTTCTTCTTCTTCAAGACCTGAAATCAAATGAGGTTCATGGTAAACTGGCAATTGATAGCCTCCCTTGGTTCTGTAAAATGCTGATAGCTGGCTCTTCAACACCGCATATTCAAGAAAATTAGTCAGAGAAGCACCCTTTGCAAGGTGTCTCACCTCAGCAAGAATTTTGGTGGGTTGAAATAAAGATTCTGCAAGCTTTCGTGTTCCACCTTCTGGCACAGCAATTCCTTCCTTGATACCAGCATTCTCAGCTAATGGTCTCTTAGTTCCATTTAAATTCTCTTTTGGCACGCAAGAGCAAGTTAACAACAACTCCACCTGTCGACCCATCTCATCAACTGCCTTCTGTACAGCATTGATGAAATTCCTGGAATTACTCATCTTTGACATCTCTTCAAAATTATCCTCAAAAGGTATCAATTGTGACGGATGGCACCAAGCAAAAGTTCCGTCCCCGAAGTAAGCAACAAGCAGCCTACCTTTCTGTTTTACCTTCAATGCAAAATCTGATGCATCCGACAAATCATATATCTGCCCTGGCCACCATGGATGACTCCTAATTTTACCCCACACAAAATCACCAACATGAAACTCGTATCCTTCATCACCCACTTCATCTCCTTGCCCATCTTTTCTTTCACTCGTCTGCTCAAAGTCCCCATTCATATCCTCTTTGTCATCAAAATCTCTACTTTCATTGTCAGCAATATTATTCATACTACCAGTAATATCCACTAAAAAGGAAACACCATTGCCACTGGAAGTAAGACCAGCTGGCACAACCTTTTCATTACCCATTTCTTCTTTCTCGTCCAAGGCATCTATGAAAGAGCCAAACCCTTTTCTTTCACCACCTTCTCGCATTTTCAACAAAGAGGAGACTCCATTCATCTCAGAGTCTTCCAGCCCCACCTCTTCACCGCTCGACCCAAAATTGTTCCCGACCGAAATTTCAGTTTCGAGAACCCTGGTCTTATCTGTCTCAACGACTTTCCCATCCAAGCGATCATCCAAAACTTCCTTACCATTTGTAGAAACCCTAACCCCATTTTCTCGGGAATTTTCAACTAAAACCCCACAAGACGACAACCTGGGAGCTTCGGATTCGTCTTTTAGAGTTTTGGGATCTGCGTCCAGAGAATTACCCAGTTCTGCTGCGACAGTAGTCTCCCCACACACGGCTTTCCCTGCGCTCTTTTCAGGTTCCTTCATTTTCCCTAGAAAACAATATATCGAAAAATTCAGCCGCTACGCATATCGTTTCACTACTGAAATACGCACAAAGCGAACCAAACAACAATATTTAAATTAACAACGTCTAGGGTTTTTAAGTCCAAGAATCGGGAGGATTATTATCCAGGAGAAAGAGGATTTTATAATCACCCAGTAAACAACATAGATATAATATATTTGTATAAAATATATCACGATAATGGAGAGTGCTAAAATTGGCGAGAAAGGGGGGAAAAGGCATTAGAGAGAGATGAAAATACCAGAGAAAACGAAGAAGATTATCTTCAAAAGAAAGAAGCGATTTCCGAGCTTGTCCCTGCAAATTAATTTTTTCTTCTACACCATTTTTCAGAAATCTGAAGAGGGAAATGGGATTATCGAGCAAGGGAACTGAATTTCTCGAGTTGAAAAGCGGTGGACTTGTGTAAATTTCCCTTTCGATTGGTAAAAGAAAGTAAATTTTTATTCACTAAATCTTTTCTTGTCTTTATCGAACCTTCAGGTCCACGTTTAACCTTTTATGGATTGGAGCACACGCGCTGAAGGAAGAAATGATAGCTACTCGCTCTGTATAATAGCCACGTGGCGAACTGTCTCAACGTTATCCACGTGGCAATCTCTTGTAGCGATGATGCGAATCAGGGTAGTGATTTTATGGGTTTTCAAAAAGGAGTCGTACGTAGGGGATGTGCGGACTCATTGCAGACGATTGACACCTGTCTTGTTATCGTTTCAGTGAAACGTACGTACAAACATAAAAACTAACAGACAAAACGGGGTCGTTTCGACGATAGTAAATTGTTTGCACCAAATGCAGAAATACACAATTTAAGCTCAAAGGTTGCTTGCAGCACTAGAAAGTTTTTAGAATTAAAAATTTTGCAATTCATTCTGTGCTCTTACTTTTAGAGCTGTGTATTTGGGTTTTTCTGGGGTAGGTTCAGTTTGAATTATTTTTATAAAAAAATTGAACTTTAAGGGGAAAAAAAATCAATTGAGCAGATGAAATTTCATTAGAAATTAGAAACCGATTCGACCAATTTGTTTGATTATTTTAAACTCGACCACAAAGAGTGAATATTTTTAAATTATATATATATTGTAATATGATATCGTTTACAGTATATTATATAAAAACTAAATTAATGTAATAGATCTAAGTAGTAATGTAATATAAATATAACATATGTAATTAAATATTGATAATATTTTTTAATTGAATATAATATAAAAATTAAACCAATATTTTAATTATTTGGTTTTTTAACCATTTTTACTTTTAAAATTTTTAAAACTGAAAATAGCGATTAGAAACCAAGTAATATTGACCTCATAATCTATTATTTCAAACTTAATGAATAAATTGAACCGATTTTCTAAGTATAACATAGTTTGTCTTGATATATTTTTAATCTATTCTCATTTTCTTGTATAATAGATTGCTCTCCATGAGTTTTCAATTTATCTACATTTTCTTTTAATATCTTTATTCTTAGTTTTTCATTACTTTTATACTTTTTATATTAATTCTAATAATTAAGTGGATAATCCACTAACTTAATGTTTTATTTTTTTTTATCCACTCATAACAATTGAAATTAACTAAAATGACATCTAAAATAATAGAATAGGTAATCTTAAAATAAACTATAAAATTATTTTATTTTATAAGAATTAAATTATAATAATA